AGTTAGGTAGTTAGTTAGGTATACGCAGGCGTATTTTCACGATGGTGAATTACTGCGTTTGTGCTGGGTGCAAAAACACAGTTAAAACCGGTCACAGAGTCCACTTTTTCCCAAAAAGCAGGTCTGTGTTCCATGCCTGGGTCAACTTTGTTCGGACCAAACGCGCTGACTTCAGTGCTGCTTCGGTCTCCTATACTTCGGTCATTTGCAGCGCCCATTTCTTCCAGTTTTTATGTTTCCACTGTTCGATCGCGCCCGCGCCTCTCTCTCTCTCTCTCTCTCTCTCTCTCTCTCTGATAGTCCAAACCCCTCGGAGCTGCAAATGCCCGACGCTGAGATCTCTCTCTCTCTCTCTCTCTCTCTCTCTCTCTCTCTCTCTCTCTCTCTCTCTCTCTCTCTCTCTCTCTCTCTCTCTCTCTCTCACACATAGACACACACAAACACAAAACAACCTTTTACACTCTATGACACACACCAACATATTCCAGCATTGCAATCTTGACATCGCAGCCTGTTCATTATAGCCACGGAGCTTCAGAGCTAAGGCGGAGCTACAGATTAGGTGTCCCTAAATAACCCGCGTATCTAACAGTAGTTCCGCATTAATTAATGTGCACGCGAGTTTTATTTATTTTTATACCGTCTATTCTCCCTGTATATTCATGCACCGAACCGTGACGCCCGTACCGTTTCGGTTCAATACAAATACATGTACTGTTCCACCTCACCTTGCCACTGTCGCCTTGCTTTTGGCTTGCTTAGTTGGGGATATTTAATATTCAACAATATTATTGAACTGTGTTGTACTACTTTCATGTTATCACTGTGAAGCTGCTTTGATGCAATCTGTATTGTGAAAAGCGCTATATAAATAAATGTGACTTGACTTGACTTGACTCTAAGTTATGCCTATAGCCTACTTACCAAGACACCTGACCAATTCTCCACGGGTTCTCTTCACACCAGATATTTATGTTTCTTCGATAGGAATTATTTAAATTTCTGTTTTGCTCCTCATCTGTCTCACGCCTGGGAGGCTCAAAATTGTATGGCTGTGGGCCATCGTAGGTTTGAGGGGGATTTTGGATCTCCTTAGACTCAAAACTCTCCATACTTGAATAGAACTTTTTTGGCACGTCTCCCTCTTCTGACGTCACAGCTCAGCTGTGTTTTAAAAATATGATCTTGACAGAAATAATTTTAATGATAATTACATTTTCACTCAGACATCTAAACCTTATTTAATATATCTAAAAAAAAAAATTTAACCTGACATACACACTTTAACAATATTACAGTACATACAGGAAACGAAATCAATATCATCAAATAATATTACAATGCGATCTCTGAAAGATGTTAATTTTGTGGCTTACTTGTCCTGACATGGCGCATGAAAATTTTTCTTCTTTTTTTTGTCATGTTTCGGTGTTCGGTGAATCAAATGAGCGGTGGGTCATCAGCCACTGTCCCCGCCTCCAAAGTCTCAATAAAGTAAATTTGAAACGCGCGTGCGTGCGCGCGCAGTGCAGAGTTGAAGATGGCATTATGCGTGCTCGAGGTGCAGAAACGCGCCCGCGCGTATACTGTTTTTTGCCCTCGTATCCTGTGCGTGAGTTTTGAGACTAAATAAACGCCATAGTTTTCAATGTCTGATTGAATCGTTCTACCATACCGTCAGTCTGAGGATGATAAGGAGTGGTCTTAATAGGATGTATACGCAACATTGAATACACTTGCTTAATTTGTCTGACTGTAAAATTGGTTCCCTGGTCTGTAATTATCTCTTTAGGTAAGCCTACCTGTGAAAAGAGCTGAACAAGTGCATTAACAATTTGTCTCGTCTTCATGTTTTTAAGAGGAAAAACCTCTGGATATCTAGTAGCATAATCTGCAATTATGGTATGTTTTAAATGTGTCGGAGATGCCATTGTGGACGGAAAAGAGATTGAAGAAATGTTTTCTTGACTTTTTATGGGAGGGGAAGCCAAAAATATGTTGGATGTTTTTTATGATGTTTTTACCCCAAAAGTGTGTTGTGTTTTAAAAGATTTAATGTGGAAGCTGCCGGGAATCGAAGGAGATTTTTAATGTATGTATGTAAATGAAAGATGTGATGAAGAAATGATTGTATAATAACAACAACTGTATTTTTATTGTATTTAATTTTATTGTATTTTATTGATTGAAATTTCTTAATAAAAAAAATAAATAAATAAAAATAACGCCCGATCTCGTCTGATCTCGGAAACTAAGCAGGGTTGGGCCTGGTTAGTACTTGGATGGGAGACCGCCTGGGAATACCAGGTGCTGTAAGCTTTTTTGTTTAAAAAAAAAAAGAGTCACTGAGCTTCTTCAAAAAGCTGGAAATAGTCTCTTTGTTTCTTCAAACAGCCTGAAATAGTCTCTGAGTTTCTTCAGAAAGCCCGATTTCGGCAGCAGATTTCGCTTACGGCCATACCACCTTTAGCACGCCCGATCTCGTCTTGGTACAATCCAGGAAGTGTTAGTGTGGCAGTGTGACAGCGTGGCAGCGTGGCAGTGTGGAGAGCGAACTTTTGTTTATATAATTTTGTTAGAAAAGTAAAAAGAAATATTAGTTTTCATTGATTTTTTTTTTTTAAACCACAAACCAGCAGCCTTGTGCTGTCTGGAGAGTGCGTAAGGATGGACAATACGGTATTGACAAAAAAAAGGAGGTGGAACAAGTAAGTGGACATGACCAAGGAAACAAAGTAACACAACGAGATAAGATGGAAAGTACGGGAGGGAAAACAAAAAGGATTTATGCAAAAGAAGTAACAGCAACGACTGACGTTGGAAAAGTACAAAATGGAGGAGCGGAGGACATTATAAGAGCTATTAAGGAAATAATAGGAGTGGGGAAAATACTGGCGGTAAGACCAAAGCTGAACAAACAATATGAAGTGACTTTTGAAAAGGAGGAGGACTGTGATGTACTTTTGAATGGACTACAAATTACAGTTTTTTTCGATTGCTTACACACTAAAATTAGATCTTTCCCACAATTAGCAAAACCTTACACTCAAGGAGCAAAACACCGGCCTAGATTTGCACAACTGTAAGCACATTGTCAGCTTCACACTTTTTGCAAAACATTACACACAGTGATTTGCAAAACACTAAACACACTTGTATGCATTTGACACAGAAATTTATCATGATGTCATTTCCTTGCATTTTCAAAGCAAAGGCTTTCAAATGAACACACCCATGAACCAATTGGTTAAACACAGCCACCAGGTGTGCACACACACTGGTGCTTAATTGTAGACACACCAATCAGGTTTAACCCTCTGGGGACGGCAAACGCGCCGGCACGTTTTGCTGTTTTTTTTTCACATAGCAGCAACATAGACTTAAAATACTCCGTCATTTATGGTCATATAAATAAAATCAATACATGATTATAAACTATAGAGGGTCTTCTTTTTTGTGTACACTCACATTAACATCAAAACCTTGTGTTTTGGAGCAAATATTCTAGACTATGTGATACAATTTTCAAAAGTCTTGTGAAGAAATAATCAATATGTGTTTTGTGGCCTTATTTCAGAAACTTTTATTTTTAAGTTTTTCAATAACCATGCATAAATAATATTCTCTCAAAAATACAAACATGTACATACATGTTGCTCACATATTATGGTAGCCCCATTTGTGCTATATAGAGTGAATTTACACCTTTGCCATTAACATGTTTATAAATAACTGAAAAAAGCACAAATGTCAGTGCATGTCAAAACATCCCAAGGGCCCCAAAAACCCCTTGGTCCCCAGAGGGTTAAGTACTATAAAAAGGCAACAGGTAAGTTCACCTGTCTTCAAAATGGACGGTGTCAGAGGAAGAGGAAGAGAGAGAGTGCGGATGAGAGGGGGATTCCGGAGAGAACAAGGTGGAGGTGGAGGTGGAAGAGGAAGAGGAAGAGGAAGACCTGGAGGAGTGGTAGGACATGCACAAAGAAGAAGAGAACCACATCTGTGTAACGAAATTCGTGCAACAATTGTGGACCATGTAATAAACCACGGACTAACACTGAGGGAGGCTGGACTGAGAGTACAGCCTAACCTAAGCAGGTACACGGTGGCATCAATAGTTCGGACATTTCGTCAAGAGCACAGGTGAGAAACTTCTCTTCAATCAACAGAAAATCCATTGGTTACTGCATGTATCATTTTACAGTAAGCTATGTATTTTGTTTGGCCAACATAGGATTGAACGTCGTGAGCACCAAGGAGGGAGGGGCCCCATATTCACACAGGAGCAAGAGAGAGAGATCATAAACTAGTGTGGGGAATTGTGTTATTTTAGGAACGGTTCATATAGATTTTTGCAACTGGTGTTTTTTTACTTGCTAGGACCCCACTGAATACAAAACAACCTGTTTCCAATTTTTTTCTTCATTTTTAGTGCCAAAATTCAAGATGGCAGACAATATATGCAGAAAAATCACAAAAAATAAAATATATAATCTTTTCACTTCTGTAAAGGCTTTAAAATGGTAAACGTTTTGATGAATGTATATTCCTAATAAGGCAGCCCTTACGGAACAAAAATATATTGCAATATACTAGAATTTATATTGCAATACATTAGAAAATATATTTCAATATATCAGAAACGTCCTCATATATTTGAAAATATATAACAATATATGGATGGACAACCTATTGCTATATATTGATTAATATATTAAAATGCATGCAATAATGTAATACAGTTTTGTTTGTATATCAATGTATGTTTATTGAAACAAAGTTTTTTTTTTATGAGTTAAGGAAGCTCATGCATATGTTTACAGAGAGGTTGATTAACAATAGTCCAAATCAAATTTTTGCATGACATTCACTATATTTTACATTATATAGCCATATGGATGGACCATATATGGCTATGTATTGATTCATATATTGTAAAATGTAGATGAAAGTATTATAAATTAAACAGCAGCAATTACAACAATTTTTTTTAATCCACTTTTTATTCCCCCACATGACATTTCATCCTCAACATTTTATTCCTCCACATGACATTTCATCATCAACATGACATTTCAGTCCTCCACACTGCAACGTGGAGGTATACATGCATAAAGGTTGGCATAATGTGGCAGATCAACTAACATACATTTCCTGTTGAATTGCATCACATCAAAAACCTTTTTCCTTCCCTGTAACACTCTTTTCAAGCCAACTACATTTTCTAAATTTAGCACTGAACTGTGTGATTTGTCATACTGTCTTCCAACAGCAAAACATTTTCTGTCATCAAGTCTCTCTACCACAATGTAATAATACACAGTGATTATGTGTCCATTATCCAACAAAACAGTGAAGCTGTTCCTTTTCATTACTCTAGTGAACTGCTCTGAGTAATACAGTTCTCCTTTGACGAAAGTTCTACTGAATATTTTCACAATTGTATCCGTGGTGACTGAAATTTTCTCTCTCATAGCCAGTATCTCTTCGTTAGTAAGTTTTCGTACATAGTGTAAACCAAGGGTCACAACTTGAGCTGCTACTCTTTCAAACTGTTTCAGCTTTTTTTCACCAGTCAAGTTGTTATACAGCTGTATACATCTTGGCACAGCATTTCTCAGTGCATTGTTTTTCAAAAGAGGCAACACTTGTCTATATGTGAATTGTTTCATTATTTGTAAGGGAACACACTGGGTGCCATGAAACATCTTCAGTATCTCCCCATTAAAAGACTCAAAAATATATCCTGAATGTGCCCACAAAGGTCCCCAATTTCTCACAGAGTCCGGCAAATGAAGACATAAATGTACGTTAAATGACACATTTTCCTTTCCATACAGTGTTTCAAACTGTTTGACAAACTCAACAACTAGTTTTTCACATCTTTTTAACCCCTCTGATGTGACAGTGTCCTTACATAGCAAGAACATGAAGGTGACAAGGATTAACCAGTGCTGGTAAAATGCATGGGGTAGTATTCCCTTTAGCACAAAGATGCTATAAAAAAGTAACCAGTTCTGCCATTCACTGGCTTTCCAAAACTTCCTTTGCTGAAAAGAGCGGGGCACTCTTGTGATATTGCAAGGTGGTTTAATTCTCAAGAGTTGTTTGTCGAGCTCAGGAACACGATTACCAATATAGAATGGCTCCTCATGGTGTTCACTATCCAGCCACATGCTTGTCATTTGCCGAACAACTCCAAGATGTACATTATGCATATGGTCAGGAGGCATTCCAGATATGAGGTCAAAGTGTGGGATGTTGACAAGACATGTGGGCCCTTTAATGCCCCTCACAGATTGTGTGGTACGCACAGCCTCCCTTGCATCATTTAGGGTTGAAGCATGATCCCTTTTTGGAACTTCTTTGTATGGATAAACCCTAACAGTTCCATTTCCCTTTGGAACTTGTTCACCAGGATGTAGGCAGAGGCTGCACCCATAATTACCATTAAATTGGGTCATGTTTTGCAGAATGGGCCTGGCAACTGAATCACACATAATAACAGCTGCTATCACTCTACAATGATTCACAATGTTGTTGCTGTGTAACTTGAAGCCAACAGTTGACAATGACTGACACTCTTTTGTGAATGGTTTTAAAAATGTATTAACATTTGGCTTTTTAGTACCAAACCATAGGCCAAAAAGTAAAACATTCTCTTTACGGACATGATAAGGAAGCTCGTTTACCATCCCTTGTAATGGCCAAATTCCATACTGGGATGATTTGAATACTGGAACTCCATCACAATTTAATGTTAAGGAGAATGCATGAGGACTATCTAGTGGGCCGCCATCTTTGTTCAGATTATGATACATTTTACCACAACATATGTCATCATAATCGTCTGAATTACATGTGCCATTTCCTGACTTAAGACAAGATGCAATATCTTCTCTTTGAAGAAGATGTTCCAGTTGTGTTTGGATGGGTAAGTATAGGAAGAAATTTCCATTCTTCAGTGAGCTGTTTCTATCCCATGTAGAGTTACATACAGAACACTGCCCTTCAGTGACTTGGTCGCCGATGTAATATTCACAGTTGGGACAGTATATGTGACATTCTAGGTGACCTTGTATTGGTTTAAGCTCTTTTAAGAACAGATGCTTTGAAGTTAGAACATTTTCTGGACAGTGGATATTAATCAAATCTAAAAGATCAGACAGGGCCACACCAGTAAGTGAGTGTCTCAAAGCATATGAAAGGATAAGTAAAAAACTCTGAGCTTTGGTTAGTTGTGAGCCTGTGTAAAGTGGCTCATCATTTACTGGAGGAAACCTTTCATTAATGCCTACTCCCAAATGTGATTCTTCATTTACTGACTTCTCAGTGCTGTCTTCCATGGGAAATTCTTCTCCACTGCCAATGGATTCAGAGTCAGTAAAAGACTGCCATAGTGGTTCAAACACACCAAAATCAACACTGTCCTCAAAACTGAAGATTGATGACTCTGTTGTTTGGCTCAAATTTGGTGGTAGTTCATTGGATTCAGGGTCTGCATGCAGGCTCTGTAATGGGAAAATACAGTAAGTCCAAGGCATAGTTGACAAGCATAAACACTAGGAATTTTGCACAAAATTAAAACTTGACAAAAATATTAGAGACGTGGCATTGTTGTATAGAGGGTAAAAATAAGGCTTAGGTTAATTTTAAAAAGGGCTAGGAAAGCAAAATAGTTAAAGTTTGAAGACACGAAAATCAGATGTGAGATCATTGCTTACTGTAATTTGCTTAAAATTACTTACTGTAATGTCATCAACATCATGTGCATTTTCAGATCTGTTGTCAGAGGAATCCTGATCCAGGTTCTGTTGTGTAAGAATAGAGAAGTCTTAGAGGAAGGGCTTTCAGTGAAATAGTCAAACACAGAGAACAGTAGATAAGTAGTAGTAGTAGTAGATATTAGTAGATTACTTACAGTAATCCCACCACCGTCATGTGCGTCTTCTGAGCCACTGTCAGAGTTGTGGTCAGAGGAATCCTGGTTCAGGTTCTGTTGTGTAAGAATAGAGAAGTCTTAGAGAATGGGCTTTCAGTGAAATAGTCAAACACAGAGAACAGTAGATAAGTAGTAGTAGTAGTAGATATTAGTAGATTACTTACAGTAATCCCACCACCGTCATGTGCGTCTTCTGAGCCACTGTCAGAGTCGTGGTCAGAGGAATCCTGGTTCAGGTTCTGTTGTGTAAGAATAGAGAAGTCTTAGAGAATGGGCTTTCAGTGAAATAGTCAAACACAGAGAACAGTAGATAAGTAGTAGTAGTAGTAGTAGTAGTAGATATTAGTAGATTACTTACAGTAATCCCACCACCGTCATGTGCGTCTTCTGAGCCACTGTCAGAGTCGTGGTCAGAGGAATCCTGGTCCAGGTTCTGTTGTGTAAGAATAGAGAAGTCTTAGAGAAAGGGCTTTCGGTGAAATAGTCAAACACAGAGAACAGTAGATTAGTATTAGTAGTAGTAGATATTAGTAGATTACTTACAGTAATCCCACCACCGTCATGTGCGTCTTCTGAGCCACTGTCAGAGTTGTGGTCAGAGGAATCCTGGTCCAGGTTCTGCTGTGTAAGAATAGCAATTGCAATTGGGTTAATGTTATCTGATTTGTCCTTATCCAATTCAGACAACAAAACTTTGCTTTTACTGATATTTACTGAGAAGCACATCATTTTGGAATATTTTTGAAAATGGAAATATAGTGTTTTGGAAAAGACCTCTTCATATATATATATATATATATATTCTGCTGGTGTATGTTTGATATGCATTATAATTAGGCTATATTTCATATATCAATATTTAATAAATCCCAGCAAAAAATGTACTCCAAGGAACTCTTAAAAAAGGGAGGGCGAAAGTGTCCAATGCTGACCCCATGAAAAGTGGAGGGCAAGATAAGATTTTTCCACCAAATGCCTCAAATGGAGGTCCTTCCAATTATCCCACTCAACATTTGGTCTGACCCAGGACTACTTATTTGCTTAATTTTCTTAACAGATAGTAATCAAGAAGGATTACATTTCAATTAACTGGTTATAAAATGTGGTCATTTAGTGCAGCATTCTGTCTAATGTCTACAAAATACACACAAAAGGTCATGTTCATGACTCACCGTTTCCTGGTTTGACTGATGCATGTTGATGGACTCAGTCAGTTTCCTGCGATAAGAATGAAAAAAATGTCTTTATTTGAAATAATATCTATTGTCAGAGACTGTCCAGTAGGGTGTGGTAACGTTTTACTGAAAAACTATTATTTTATTATTTTATTTCGCGGCATACTCAAACTCAGCTTGTACTGAATCGTTTCAGAGACTTTGACATGTTTCCCAAATGACATCAGAATAATATCTGAAATTTTACTTACCAAAGCGAGATTATCAAATAGTCACTTAAGGAAGATTATTCACGGCGCTTCCTCTGACTTCCACTTTACTTCTCTCTCTCCGACGACAACACTCCAAATAACGCTACTAACTTCAAATAACTCGAACTTCCAAGTGCACTCAATCACAGTTTTTGTTAAGAGAAGAAATGCTTTGGAGAAATGCTCCGTGCTGCTGCCTGCTGTTTCATCAGATCTGCTCTCATCTGACTCTCTCCTAGCTGCTCACACTGACAGCGGCGCCGGCGCGATCTGAATGCGCCACTGCTATTGGCTCTTAAGGATGTCATACAGCACAATCAGGTTCGGATCATTTTACTGACTCTGATCTTTGAATCTCGTTCAGCAAAATGAACGAATCTTTTTTCAAGTCATTTTGTTCATTATAGCTGAATATAAATACAATTTTCCATGATACATTACCCAACACATCTAGTACCTACCTATGTAAATGTTGATTATATATAAAACATTTTTTAAAAAAAAAACTATTATGAGAAACAGAAATAATTTATTGCTTGACTGGGTCTTCAGGCTATGCAGATTAGGCCTAGTTCACCTCTAGTGTCATCGGGTGATATCAACGATGATATCGTCCATCGGCACAACCCTATTTGCGAGCCAGTGTGCTACATGCTAGCTACGTTTAGCTAAGCCGCAAGCTTGTAAAAACCCACACAAACCACGAAACTACAACAGTAAATACAGAACAACTGTTTAATAACGTAACTTAACTAGGCTGGAGTAAAACACAAACCTCCTTTTCCAGTATCTCCTTGTTCTTGATGGAATCTCATATTCTGAACCAGGGGCAGTGTATTTTCTTCTCCTTCCGTCCATGCCTCTTCTTCTGGAAAGGAACCCTCGTTCAATGTCGGTACTACTTTGCTGATTGCACGTTGCATCCGTTATGCGCATGCGCAGATGATAATCCTGTTTTTTACGACACTGCACGATCCCACACTTGCGCACCTTTGCACCGCGTGAACATATTGCGCATGCGCATAACCTATCGTGCCGGCAGCACGCGGGACACAAGCCACCGCTACTCTGAGTCTGTGCGTACGTGCCTCAGCGGTGAGAGGAGAAAAAACAAAAAAAGATGAAGTTTGCGCTAGTGAGCTGGTCAAAGGGGAAGGATAAAGATGCTCTCAGTATAGTCCCCGTAAATTGGATCGTAGACTTCGATCCTGAAAACTCTAAAAAGGAGTATCTTATCGAGTGCCGCAGCATCGGTGGCAAGAGGCCTACGAATGGGTGGCCGGTTGAAACAGCACACATTTTGCAGTTGGCAGGCAAGTAACTTACCGTGCTTTTTTATATATATTTTTTTACTTGGTTAGTCATGCAACATTATTGATAGCAATTATCCTGTTAAGGTTTTTGCATTATTGGCCAAGTAACGTTCGCTGTAGGCTATTAGCTTCGGGACAGTGACGAGCTAGTTAACGGCCGTCACGTGAGTCCCGCTTCATTTGAACTTTAAGCTAGCTAAGGCCCATTAGTCACATGAGTATGAATTTTTATTTAGGAGTGAAACATTAATTAAACACTTACTTTAAAAGTCCTAAATTGAAGATTGTCAGCTAAGATTTGGGTTAATAAGAATACTTAACTGTCAACATAGTCAGCCAATAACATTGTACAGTGAAAATCAGTTTAGCGGCTGTAAGTTAAGTTACATGGCAGCAAAATTTTACGTGTTAAAATGAACAGAGTAAACTTATAAAGCAGGTACAAAAAACTGTAAAAACAGCACAAAAATTGACAGTAAAATACTTTATTTGATGTAACGTAAGCCACATTTTGTTTCAGGCATTAAATTCTGTCTTGCTACTATTTCTTACTAACAGAAAAGGAGTCTACACTTAAGACTGCTGAACGGAAACTCTTGCAAGAGGACCTACCAAAAAGCAAGAAGAGAACGAGGGTACCCAACAAACTTTACCTTGACACACAGGAGGAAACTGTAGAACAAGTTGCAAAAAAGGTAATAGGGTTCTTTTCATGACGGCTATTTTGATCATATATTTTTACATTTCTGTCTGTATATATTTGTACATTTCTGATAGTGGTTAGCACTGTCGCCTCACAGCAAGAGCGTTCTGGGTTCAAACCCGCTGGCTGGCTGGGGCCTTTCTGTGTGGAGTTTGCTATTCTCTCTGGGTACTCTGGCTTCATCCCACAGGCCAAAGGTTGCATGCATGTTAGGTTAATTGGTGACTCTAAATTGCCCATAGGTGTTTGTGTGTCTGTATGTGGTAGCGCTGCTGGGTTGTACAAGAACGTTCCTGGCAACTTAAAAGAAAAAAGGAACTATAGTACTACAGCTATGAATTTAAACAGAGTCTAGCCATGGAACCTATTAAACTTAATGATTCATTTTAATAAGTTTTTGGTTTCATTTTCCTAACTTTTGTGTGCATTGTTTCATACATAATTGATTTGATCATTTTTACCCAACAGAAAAACTACAGACTCATAGCTGCAAGACAGTCTGAATTAGACGTTCTTCCCCAAGAAGAACCTAACCACAGCCCAGTGGGGACTGCTTTAGAGGCACTTGAGGAGGAGATCAGGGCCCTCAGGGAGGAGAATGAAAGACTGCATGACCAGCAGAGTGTAGGATCTTCTGCAGCCAGTAAAGATCTTGAGACCCAAGTCAAGGCTTTACATAAGGAGAACACCAGGCTGCGCAAAATGGCAGTTAAAGGCAACTATCTCTTTTAGATTAAAATTCTTTTAGATTGAATAAATCAGTGTCTCCTTATTTTTGGTGTTATTGTTAGAGATGTATCTGTGTCTACATTTTTAGGGGATATCCACTGATGTAGTATAGGGTTTCCTGTAGGAAAAATTTAGCCTAGGGCTAAACACTGTAGCGTCACTGAGACAAAATTGGTCTGGCAGAAACCCTGTAATGCTTTCAGAACCCCTCACCAACACATTTTGCTTCACTTTGAGACACCAAAAAATGAGTGGAGGTGTATTTTGTTTTTTTTACATGTTATTTACAACTTGTTTGGAGTCCTGTTGTGGTAAATTCGGTGGGCCATATTTTCCAGAAATTCCATCACTCTTAGCAGCTGTGAGGACCCTCATTTCAGACAAGATCACAGAGAGCTCAAGCAATGGAGGTGAAAGCGAATATGAGGCCAGTGTTGCTCTATCATCACCTCCTCAACCCACATCTCCCAAACCAACATCAGTAAGTACATTTTTGTAATGGTCAATTAAAAACATAAATTATTCTGTCACTGGTGTTTTTCTTTGTTTTTATTCTGGTTTGTCTTTCCTTCTTACAATTAATTAGGTGCCACTAGGGAATGATGACTCCACCAGAGTGTCTGCCCATTGTTGGGAGACTGCAAAAGCACAACCTACAGCGAAAGGAATGGCCCGCACCCTCCTGCTGGGCCTGTTCAGCATTGATGTCCTACTGAAGTCCAACCTGACGGGAGGGGTCAACAAGGTCGATCCATCTGCAGAGAGACGCCAACCTCTGGACCCCAAGAAGCTTACAGCTTTACTCAGTAAGACAATAAGAATTTATTTTTAATGGATTAATATATTTTGCAAAGTTATTGTAAATTGTAAAGGTAGGGATGTAACGATTCACTCAACTCACGATGCGATACGATTCACGATTTTTTTAACAAGTGATTATTTTAAGAAATTATAAATGAAAAAGTGTCCCTTTTATTATTTCTCAGACAAAATGCTGCACATTTCTTTTTAATTTTAAAATATATTTGTCAAATAAAAAAACTACATTGAA